GACCGGCTTCACCCGCATGTAGCGGGTCTTGCGGTCCTTCAGTAGCAGGAAGTACAGGCTGCCATCCTTGGCGGCCACCCAAAACGGCCTGCACAGGTCGATGTGCACATCGGCCAGTGCGTCCTCGGCGTCCGAGCCCTGGTCGGGGAAGGTGTGCCGCGCCAGCTTCCCGCCGACACACGAGACACACGGAGATTTGGTGCCAGCCGACGGCTTGATGTCGAGGCCGGTGGCGACCTCTTGCTTCGCCGAGCTCATGATGGTGTCGACGCCAACGTGGGAAAGCCTAGGTGTGCCACCTGCCCGGCGTCGACTTCGTTGACCGTGATCCAGGGCAGCAGAGCTCGCATCGCTCCAGCGTTGCAGAGTAGCGGTTTGCCAACGTTGCAAGTCCACGGTGTGCCTACGCTGCAGCAAGTCGGCTGAACAACGTTGCACCCGCAGGACAACGCTGCACCTGCTTCGCAGGTGTGTGCAGCTGGTTGGTGCACCACTCCTTGTCACGTGCAGAGCACACACGTCTCGGTCGAGTCCACGCCAGCAACTGCGCCTACCAGCCACGTCGACCTTGGGATACCACTTCCGAGGTCAGCTTCGCAGCAACCACCCCGGCGACCATCGCATACTTCGCCCAGGTAACTCGGTCGACCAGGCAACCACGCCTGGTTGCCCAATCCAGTCGGACGCTGGCTACACCAGAACGGCGTCCCTAGAAGAGGTGTCCCAGCACCTTGGTTGACATCCGGACGCCTAGGTCGGCGTCCAGCCTCCCAGGACGGCGTCCAGGCGCCTAGGTCGGCGTCCAGGCGCCCAGGACGCCATCCAGCCTCTCAGGACGCCGTCCAGGCGCCCAAGTCGGTGTCCAGGCGCCCATGACGTCGTCCAGACGCCCAGGTCGGCGTCCAGGTGCCCAGGACGCCGTCCAGGCGCCTAAGTCGGCGTCCAGCTTCACAGGACGCCGCCCAGACGCCCATAACAGTGTCCTCCTGCTCGGCGCCCTCTAGCTAGGCGCCCTCCAGCTCGGCGCACTCCAGCTCGGCGCACTCCAGCTCGGCGCCCCCCAGCTCGACGCCCTCACTGCAACTGATCGGCTGCGCTCCCCGCACGCCCGAGAACGAAGTCGGCTCCGCCCAAGCGAGGACGGGGCCAACCACAACTCCCGTTGACAGCTTCTACTTCTGAGATGAACAACCAACCCCCACTGTACATGTGCACTTCCATTTCAGGGGTTTGACTGATCTATCTCATGCACCAGCTTCAGTAGGAACATCACCGCCAGTACCGATAACGCTTCCAACCACACTTCCAAACACATCATTAAGAGCCATAGATGATGACAACGCAGCTTGGACAAGTGCTAGTGCATGCATGAAGAAAAGCGTTGTATGGTAAGGTATCATTGAAAGAGCATACACTTGTTGATACAGTACCCTACTATGGAAACATCAAACCAACAACTTACTTGATCCTTGGTCACGTTGATCTCGTAGCTCTCCAAATCAGACATAGACTTCACACCCATGCTGCTCAGCGCCTTGATGCTCTTGATAGTGGAGCTGGGGAAGAATTCAAGGTAATCCGTGACCATGAAAGTCACTGTTTCTTTTACTAAGCCTCCAGGATGCCCTGGTGACTGATCATTATCAGCACGAGTCACTGGCTTGTCCAAGGCGGCAGAATAGTCAAGGCACACACTCGCAGCTGTATTTCCCACCCTGTGATGCTGAGCACATGTGTTCAACGCCTGTGAAGCATTCATGGTATCTCCATCAGTCTTCTTCACCGTTTGGGTCATGATCTGCTCGCAGCTAACACACCTGACACCTGGAACCAGTGAAATGGACCAATGCTCTGCAGTCGGACAGGTGTAGTAAACGACATCATGGCAACCAAGGAAACGCAGTTGAGAGGAAAGCTCAGTGGGTGAGGGGTTCAGGAGAACATCCTTCTCCACCTTCATGTACGACCTGTCGAGCTTGTCAGCGCTGGTAAAAACATTGAAAATTCCGAATTTACGACCTCGGTTCAGATTCCCGGTCTCCTTGAGTAGTTTCAGCAGACTCGCGGTCGGCATACGAAGGAGTGACACAAGGAGATCGACAAAATCCTTCCCAGACTCGAGATACAATACTTGTCCTTGCGCCTGAAGTTCAGAAGCAGAGAACTCATGTGACGTGGATTTCGAATGGCAAGAATCATTCATTAGTACATCGATTTTGCTCACCTTGCTGAACAGAACAATGACCTTCATCGGAGATCCTGTGCAATCAGCCATGGCGACAGAGTAATAGCAGTTCCGGGGAATGACCGATCGGGACGAGGAACTGGCGGACGAAGGACTAACATAACCACTCGGGTGTTTGTCTGTTCGACTACGCGATCGTCCTTTTTAGGTGCATCTTGTCGAATTTAAACAGCCAAAAAGGCTTACGAGACGCATACTGAATCAAATGCTGGATACTACTGGACGGCACTGGGATCAATTCGTCAGTCACGGTCCATTAGTCTGCTTACGAGCATGCAGAGAATGCGCGCGTGCAGATTTCACGAAAATTAGTCCCAAGCCATGTCTCTTGCATGGCTTCGCGCCTTGGGATCGATGGGCCTAGACCAGCAAAGGAAGGTATCATAACACCTTTGAATTTCCCTATTCCTATCAATTCGGGAAAACCTGTGATTGTATTTTACCGCAACGAGACAAGGAATCTGCGTTCGTGATCAGCTTACGAAAACAATACCGGATCGATTCACCGAACAGCTTAGATTCGTCCAGACAAGAGAGCGAATCAGCTTGGAGCTGAGCCCATGCTGTACCGTTAGCTACTCAGGCTAGGAAGACACAAGCAGTTCAGATTCAGCTGGAAGAATGCCAGCCACAAGTCTGAATGGAATCCAGTCCTCCCCGAATTGATTCAAGATTCACAACAAGCTTTCGCGATATTCAGATCGGGGTTTATTCGCTGGCGAGTTTCGACGACTCGCTTCGCCTACTGTAACTACGTACATCGTCGGCCCTCTCCCCTTTCCATCCCCTCGCTTTCGCTCGCCCCAACCCCAGAACTGGTGCGTTTTTTCGCCATAGCAAAATTGAATTCGTCAACACCTGGCAAGTGATTTCGCAGGCAAATGGTCCCTCTCTAACGATGACCTCCCTCTTTATTGTCGAGTGGCCACCCCCCACCTGCTGTTTGTTCTTTCTTCTGCCATTGTTCTTTCTCTCACGCCCTTACAACCTCGCCTCTCCCAAAACTGCTCCCGCTCAGCTCCGCACTTCCCATATCCACCTCCCCTTGCTGGAAAAACCACTCTTCTCTCACCCTATCGGAGATCAAGAATCTAGAACCCCTGCTCTGTTGCGAGCCGCCATACCAGATGCAACGTGGGTGCTCACATGCGCGCACTCGAGCTCCGCCAAAACAAGCGCTTGCAACCCAGTCCCCCACGATGAACCACTCCACAGCCTCCGTTCCATTCACTCGCCCAATTAAAAATGGCTGTGCCATGAATCTGCCGTCATGACAGACGACACCTGTCATTCGCGCAACGGCATGGCCGGCTGGGAACTGGATGGGGTAGGAGCGACGCATGCGGGTGTTATTCCGCTAGGAGAGTGGAAGAGGGGGTGGTGCAGCTGATTGGAGATCCTATGACCTACGAAGTCTTGCGATCCTATGTCACGATGTGACATCGCCCTCCAGTCCACCTCGCTGTACTATTCACATGAATGATCCGACCATCATCATTAGAGCAGAGCCATAGTAGGGAGAATCCACAGGAAATTAGCAGCAGCAACATGGCATCCGTCCTCCCTTTCCTCCTACTCCTCCTCGGTTCTCACACAGTCGACGCTCGACCGACCAACAATGCCTTACTTTCCACCTTCCGCGGCCCAGCGCGGACCCTTCAAGACGTAGCGGAATGCACGGGATCGTCAGAGCCCTGCCCCGGCGGCCGCGGCGGCTGCGTCGCAACATCGCGCCTCTGCGACGGCGCGCCCGACTGCGGCGACGCGAGCGACGAGGGCGTCGATTTCTGCGACACGCTGCTGTATCCACCGTACGCGGAGGGCAACGTGTGCAACCCCGAGCAGTTTCAACTGTACTGCCCCAGCAGCGGCGGGTGCATGAAGGAATCCGAGGCGTACGACGGGGAAACCCCAATTGCGCTGACGAAAGCGACGAGTCGCTCGCATTTTGCACGAACTTCGTTTGCGACAACGTTGGGAGGGTGCGTGCTGGTAGTGATCATGTTGCTGCTAGCAGTGACATTCGCAGTATGCGAGTCGAGTCGATGGGTTTTTTCCCCCAAGGTGCTTGCATGAGACCTTGTTCGCCCAGCCCTTCACTTCCTCTCCCCCCCCCTAACTCCCCCCCCCCCCTCCCCTCCCCTTTTCCTCCTTCCGTGGCCGCTCACTCTCCCGCCTGGCGGTTCTCTTTCTCCCTCTGTGATTTCTTCTTTCCTGCCCGTTCTCTACCCCCTCCTGCGCTTCCTTCGTCCCTGCTGATTCTCTCCCCCCTCTGCGATTCCTTCACCGCCTGCTCCCTCTCCATCTCTGTGTTTCCTTTCCTCCTTGCCCTTTCTCCCCCCTTTTGTGTGCTTCCTTCTTTGCTGCCCGTTCTCCCCCCCCCCCCCCCGCCACGCTGTGATTGTTACTTCACTGCCTGTTCTCGAAACCCCCTGGTGCTTCATTCCTTCCCGGTTTCTTTCCCCCAGTATTTCTTTCTTCCCTGCCCATTCCAACCACCCCCCTCCCCTGTCCCCCCTACCCCCTCCCCCCTCCCTCTCGTGCTTCCTCCTTACCCGCCCATTCCCTTCCCTCCCCTGTGCTTCTTTTTCCCCACCCGTTCTCTCTTCCCCACTCTAGATTTCCTTCTTCCTGCCCGTTCACTCTCTCAATTTCTGTTTCTTTTATCCCTGCCCGTCACCTTCCCCTACTGTGTTTCTTTCTTCCCTGCCATTCTCGCTCCCACCAGGCCTACTGCCCTTCTAAGATCGGCTGCATGCCTCCAGGCGCCAAGTGTAACGGGCATCTCTCCCCCAATCTGTGTTTCCCTCTTTCCTGCCCGTTCCCTTTCCCCCTGTCTAATTTCTTCACCCCTGCCCATTCTCATCCCCACCAGGCCTACTGCCCGTCTAAGATCGGCTGCATGCCCCCAGGCGGCAAGTGCAACGGCGTGGTAGACTGCGCAGACGGCATCGACAAGGGGCCGTCAATGCTAGGGATATCAAGTTGGCTCATATGTGTTCTCTCCCCCTCACTGTGTTTCCTTCATCCCTGCTCATTCTCATCCCCACCAGGCCTACTGCCCATCTAAGATCAGTTGCATGCCCCTAGGCGGTGAGTGCAATGGTGTGGCCGACTGTGCGGACGGCAGCGACGAGGGACCGCAATGCCCCGGGTACCAAGGCGGCTCATCAGGCGGTGGCACGTCAGGAAACAGCACTGCCCCTAGCACCGGCGGTGGCAGATCCTCTGACACGTCAACGAACGGCACTGCTCCTGCTGGTGGGTCCGGAGGCGGAGGCGGGTCGGTGAGCGGAGGCGGGTCGGTGACGGGAGGCGGGTCGGGGACCGGAGGTCCTGTTGTGTTGAGTCCAGAGGATTTTGAGAGGCAGAGGAAGGAGGAGGCAGCACGGAGAGCAGCTGCTGCTGCGGCTGAGAAGGCTGCTTTGGAGGCGAAGAAGAGGAAGCAGGCAGAGAAAGCAGAGGCGATTGCTGAGAAGAAACGGAAGCAGGAGGAAAAAGCTGCTGCGATTGCGGAAAATAAGAAAAAGCAGGAGGAAAAAGCGGTCGCGATTGAGGAGAAGAAGCAAAAGCAGGAAGAGAAAGTGGCTGCGATTGCGGAAAAGAAGAGGCTGCAAGAAGCGAAGTCTGCTGCTGTTGCTGAGAAGAAGCGGAAACAGGGGGAGAAGGCAGCTGCGATCGAAGCAAAGAAGAAGAAGCAGGCTGAGAAGGCGGCTGCGATACAGGCCAAGAAAAAGAGAGGGGGGCCAAGTGTGACAAAATAAAGAGGAAAAGCTACACACATCGAGCAGTACTTTGAAACTAAGATTACTTTGGACTGCTCTCCTTTGTGCTCTCCATTTCTGTAGCGTGTTATCGCCAGTGCTGAATCTCTCAAGAATCTTGGTTATCACTATTGCTAATATGGTGGACCTGTGTCAAACCATATTTGTATGTTCTTAGTTCTGCTTGGCTACAGTGAGGTGCTCAGTATAGAGTACAACCCCAGTTAGGGTTTCATACTTGTATCTCCCTGTTGCTAGTCATTCCTCATTCCTGCAACACTTCTCTTGACATAATTTCAGAGCAGGAACACTGTTAGATTTTTTAGGGCCCACCAAATCGATCCGCTCGACCCTGCCCGAAGCGCCCTCGCGCTTCCCTGCCCTGCCCGAACAGTGTCGCGCTGCCCTGCTGCCACGCGCGCTGCCTGCCCAAGCATGCTGCTATGCTTGTCAAAGTAGCTAGCTAATCTTAGGACCCATGGCTAGGGTTGATGGAACTAGCATGAGTATCAAGGGAGTTTAGCGAAGGAGAAAGGTGGTTTCACTGTAGAAAAACAGGAACATATACGGGGAAGGAGGGGGGTGCACCACCAAAACAAGAAGCATATAGCTACACTAGGATCTACTGTAGGCAGGTATATTAATGTATACAAATACATATCAACACACCCCCTAGCTGCCTACAGTGAGAACCATGTGTAACAGCACCGCCTGAAGTGGTACACTAGGTGCAGCGGAGGAAGAAGAGGGCAAGTGAGGAGGAGGAGGGACCATGAGAGGAGAGGAGGTGGTGGGTGGCAGCTGAAGCAGCTGGCACACGGGCAACTGGAGCAACTTGCACACTGGCAACTGGAGCAACTGGCACACGGCCAATTGGAGTAACTGGCTCTGCGGCTAGACGAGTGGCTGGAGCAACTGACTCACGGGCGACAGGAGCAACGGGCTCATGGGCGACTGGCGCAAGAGTCTCACTGGCGACTGGAGCTGCTGGCTTCACGACGTCCACCCCCTTTCAACCTCCCCCATTTTCCCAACCCTTTCACACCCCTCAGCATCCCTACCGCCACTCCCTCATCTCCCCCACACCCTCCCCCCCCCACTAGTGGCATGTGCAGCAGTGGGAGAGAGAGGAGGAGAGGCGGCAGCTGATTACTCACACCCGCCACCCCCATACCCTCCCCCCCATTGCTGCACGCGCAGCAGGGGGATGGAGGAGAGGGGGGGGCGGGGGGGCGGTGTAGGAGCTGCACGGGCGACTGCAGGGCGCGCGACGGGCAGGAAACCGTCGTAGTTTCCTAAGAAGCGCCTTCTCCCTACGGGGGGTTGGTTTCCTCCGGGGATCTCCTTAAAGCCCCAAAAAAAAAAAAAAAAAAAAAAAAAAGGGAAACCGTCGTGCGCCCGGGGCGCGCGACGGGCACGAAATCGATGCAAGCCCGGGGCGCGCGACGGGCTGAAAAACCGACTCGCGCCCGGGGCGCATGACGGGCAGAAAACCGACGCGCGCCCGGGGCGCGCGACGGGCAGCAGAGTGACGCATTAGCGGAAGCGAAGGGTGGGCCCAATTTGGCAGGTCATAGGAGGAACCTGGCTTTGATACCATGTCAAAGTAGCTAGTTAATGTGTTGAAATGTATTTGTATACATTAATATACCTGCCTACAGTAGATCCTAGTGTAGCTGTATGCTTCTTGCTTTGGTAGTGCACCCCCCTCCTTCCCCATGTATGCTCCTATTTTGCTTTAGTGAAACCAGCAAAACAAGAAGCATATAGCTACACTAGGATCTAGTGTAGGCAGGTATATTAATGTAAACAAATACATTTCAACACTGCTGCCACACGCGCTACCTGCCTGCACGCGCACTGCCTGTTGCACGCGCGTTGCTAGCCCGCGCGAGCTGCCTGCCCGCCAGCGCCACCAGCTCGCGAGCGCCGCCTGCCCGCGAGGTGCCTGCCCACGCACCCGCTGCCTGCCCGCGAGCGCTGCCTGCCCGAAGCAGCTGCAATCGAAGCACGGAAGAAAAAGCAGGCTTAGAGGGCGGCTGCTATTGAGGCGAAGAAATCAAGCGCGGCAGCAGGTGTGAGCAAGTAAAGAGGAACAGCTACACAGACATGGAGCAATGCTACCGTACAAGATAACATTATATTCTGTTTTGTCATGTGATACTCGATCGAGAGTTTTCTCTCATTTTTGCCCTCCATTTCTCTGTAATACTGTTGTGTTTTTGCATGTGCTGCTGATGTCAGAATAGAAAACACGAATCATTTGACTAAGCAGGAAATGTGGTTCAAGTACTAACCCTAACAAGGGCTGTACCCCATAGGGAGTAACCCACTCCAGACGAACAATGTACCCCCATAGGCGAAGTGGGGAACAACAAGAGGTCATAAGACCAGTCAAGAGAAACAAACAAAGCAAAGCTCAAGGTGGATCTCAAGATCACCATGCATTCTCAGCACAAGTAAGCGGCCACAAGGCCAGTTCACAAGCAGCGTTTACAATAGCAATTGCAGTACACTAATCACAACCTAGCAAGTGCAAACATGCATGTAAAATCATATACATCAGAGTACAACACGTTCAAGGCAAGATCAAGAGATAAGCAGGTGAAGCAGAGTGCGCACAAGCCCAAGAGCAGCGCAGAAACGCTGATGATCACCAGACCCAAGGACCTTGGTGAAGACATCAGCGGTGTTGGCATGTGTGGCCATGTAAGCGAGACGAAGCTGACCACGCCGCTGCAGCTCTTGTGTGAGGAAGTATCAAAGAGCAATGTGCTTCGTATTGTGCTCCAGTCTCTGGTCCTGACACAAGGCAATCATGGCCTTGTTGTCGATGTATATAACTGGAGGAGAACGAGGCCGCTCACCCAAGTTGGTCAGTAGGTAGGTCAGCCAGCGGAGCTCGTGTGCAGCCATAGCCCCAGCGTAGATCTCGGCCTCACAGCTGGAACCAAGTACAGAAGACAAGCGAGTGGACCTCCAAGAGACAGAACCAGTGCCGAGGCTGAAAATGTACCCCTGTGTCAACCAGTGAGTCGTCTGGTCGTCAGCCCAAGAAGCGTCTGAGTGACTGGTGAGAACAACTGAACTCTGTCCACCAAGCACAAGCCCCATGCCCGATGTACTGCACAAGTAACGCAGTACCCTGTTAGCAGCTTCCCGGTGCACCTTTTGGTGTCTACAGGGAGCCACGTAGCAAGCCAGGAGGCTGAGAGGGTACGCGAAGTCAGGTCGTGTGCACGTCATCAGGTACATGAGGCAGCCCACAAGCTCCAGATACGGACCACTCGGCTCTACGGACTCGTCCGAAGGTGGAGCTGAGAGCGAGTGGCCTGTAGGCAGAGTACTGGGATGTGACGAGGACCACGAGAAGCCGAAGCGCCAAAGGACCTGCTGCACCATGTGTAACTCAGTCAGAGTGATGGCGTGCCGTGCTCTGTCCCAGGTGATCTGCAAGCCTAGATAGCTCCACAACTCACCCAGGTCAGTGCAGGTCTGTCTCTCCTGCAGCTCCACCTTCACTAGGGCCAGTGCCTCAGTGTCAGTAGTAGCAAAAACAAGGTTGTTGATGTACACAAGAACGTAGAACGGCGGCAGAGAAGTGTCTGTGCGCAGAAATAGCGAAGGGTCAGCAGTCGAGGGAGTGAAACCAAGAGCTGCAAGTGTAGTCCTCAGTGTGTCGTGCCACTCACGGGGCGCTTGACGCTGACCGTAGACTGGTCGCCAGAGACTCCACTGGGTAACCTCAAAAAACGACCCAGTGAAGCCACGTGGGCGGTGTTATAGTCACAATAGGCTTTAATGTGCCTAAAACGAAAGATAGAGTGCACAGTCGGATTTCTGCTAAGAAAAAACTTGCGTTGTGTTGATAGCGTTCTGCTAAGTGTTGATAGCGTTATGCTAAGTGTTGATAGCGTTCTGCTCACAGCTTCAAATGACTTGCTATAAAATGGATCTGGAGCGTCTTGATGTCGCCTACAATAGGCAATTTAAATCACACGATTTCAGCAAGTGTTAAGGATGCAACTTTGGTTTGAACGAACGGCACTATGGCAGCCGCTATAGACCTAGAACACAAATTAGGAAGAGTTACGAGTTGGGAATGACTCCCCAGCTCCTACAAACCCCAAGAGCCGAGGTACAGTGAGGTGGAACAGTGCTACACTCTCCCCAACCACGAAGGGTCTCGAAACTACCCTCCACAAGGGCCTACACCAAGAGAAATGTTACACTACACAAAGTAATGCAACTATTATCACTATCTTAAAGTTTACCCTTTTGGAGAGCTTCGAAATCACTTGATTCTTGAAACCAAGGCTCTTGTTCTTCAAGATAAATTATTGCTCGAGTTCTTGGAAGTCTGCTGCGCACACCTGCGACACGCCGGACGTTCCACACACGACAAAATAGAAAAAACGCACACGACACGCAAACAACGACGTGACACGCGAATAGCGATAACTCGCTATTGGCTCGACACATACATTCAAAAATCATGCCTCATCATTCACACACTATCTTAAGCATGAAATATATATTATTTCATGCCCTCATACCATTCCATGCACACACACATGCACGCACATGGACAACAAGCCGAATGCAAACAGTAGGGTTGCACCAATAGGCGGCGCAACCATATAGCCTCGTGAAGGCTGCCTTGCAAGAAGGCTGTCGAGTAGTAGAGGGAGTGCAGCTCGTAGTCGCGCAGTGTTGCAACGTGCAGTAGCACCCAAAGAGTGGTCATATTTGGGGTGGGTGAGAAGGTATGGAAGAAGTCTACCCCCTCACGCTGACTAAAGCCTCGTGTAACGTAATGCGCCTTGAAGGCAGGCGAAGAACCGGGCGGCCGCTTCACCCTGAAAATCCACATGCCATCGACTATGTTCACCCTAGGTGGGGGAATCGCTTCGACGTAGGTGCCTGTGTGTCAAACATTATATATGTTATGCTTGTGTAGGCTACAGTGGGTTAGCCTATAGGGGGTACACAATTCTAGG